TCCTTCCTATTCTTCAATATCATCTTTGCAATTCAGTTCTGATTTCCAGTAAAATTTTAGAATTAGACTATTTACATTGAAACAACCCCTGAGACTTTATTTGGTATAGCATTTAGTCCACTGATAAATTGGGGGGAGGGGAATTAGCACTGGAGTCTTGGGGGGAGGGGAATTAGCACTGGAGTCTTGGGGGAGGGGAATTAGCACTGGAGTCTTAGGGGGGAGGGGAATTAGCACTGGAGTCTTAGGGGGAGGGGAATTAGCACTGGAGTCTTAGGGGGGAGGGGAATTAGCACTGGAGTCTTATTGTCTATTAACGTGTCCCTTCCCTCCTCCTACTTAGGCTTCTTTAGTTTTTGGGAGGTGGGAACAGTGTTTCTATGAATTTTGCTAGATTCATTTCTTTTTTAAAAGAAATTTATTTTTTAAGAATTTATTAATTTTTCTTGTATATGCATTGGTGCTTTAACCATGGATGTCAAGTCCCCTGGAACTGGAGTTACAGATGGTTGTGAGCTGCCATGTGGGTGCTGGGAATTGAACCCAGGTCCACTGAAAGGGCAGTCAGTGCTCTTAACCATTGAGCCATCTCTCCAGCCCAGCTAGATTTATTTCTTGGTCTGTCTTTTTTTGTGGGGGAGAGAGAACCTCTTACTTGACCTAGAACCTCTTACTTGCTAGGGAAGCACTGGAGTGTGGCCCTGGTCTACACATCTCCTCTCTTCGTATATAAACTTTGAAACAGGATCTCACTAAGTTACTGGGGTTCTCCTTGAACTTCTGACTCTGTTGACTCCTGCCTCAGCTTCCTGAACATCAGACCTGGCTGGCATTGAATATTTTGATGCTATGCAAATGATATCACTAAAATGTTAAAGTATTTTATTGTAGTGTATTTTTAAAACACAATTTTAAAAATATTGACCTTGTTTCTAGTGATCTTGCTGCATTTATTTATTTATTTATTTATTTTTTGGTTTTTCGAGACAGGGTTTCTCTGTGGCTTTGGAGGCTGTCCTGGAACTCGCTCTGTAGACCAGGCTGGCCTCGAACTCACAGAGATCCGCCTGCCTCTGCCTCCCCAGTGCTGGGATTAAAGGCATGCGCCACCAACACCCGGCCTTGCTGCATTTGTTATTGATTTTCTCCAGTCTTTTATTTACTCTCCTTAAACAAAATTATGCAGTCTCTGACTAATGAACTTATCTCCTCTATCCTATCTTAATGTCTTTCATTTTTAGTTCTGATCTCAGCGTAATGTTGATTAGAAACAGTGATAGCAACATTTTTGCCTTGGGCCTAATTATCACAGGGAAGTCTAAGAAAGTTTCACTGTGGTTATAATATTTAATGTGTGGACAGCTGTACATGGTGTTGGAGCCTGAGTGTGGGCAAGGAGAGCATTTTCATAGCAAGGTAACCCAGTTTAGGTGTAGGAACCCACAGAGGGTATCATCTGGATGCGAACCAGTTCAGGCTGCCATGGCCTGGGAATACAGTTACCAGCATGTACATGTACATGTACAGATGAGGTGGCCTTCTATGGCACAAAGCTCTTTGAGAGCACAGGAGAGCTTTCCCGTTGTGTATGATGCAGCACAGGTAGTCAGTGAGACAGGAGATAGTTTTATTTCGGCAGTAAGTGCAGGAGTCATGGCTGATCATGGGGGAATACGAGTTAGCCATGTAGCACACATGACTGCTCCCTTGAGTGGATGAATAATTGTGTTGGACCTATAGAGCATGTGAACTCTATTGGCTCATCCTTATTGTATCACAAAAAGATCAATTATGCCGGTGGTGGTGGCACACGCCTTTAATCCAGGACTAGGGAGGCAGAGGCAGGCAATCTCTGAGTTCAAGGCCAACCTGGTCTATACAGAATAGCCAAAGCTACGCAGAGAAACCCTGTCTCAAAACACAACAACAACAACAACAACAAAAAAAAAAACACGACCAGTTCCAACAGATATTACTCAGCCTGCATCCACTTCCCATATAAGACCCATAAAAGACAACTATACAAAGCAACATGGCAATATTCCTTCCTTTTATAGCCCCTCCCACTCTTTTTTTTTTTTTTTTTTTTTTTTTGGTTTTTCGAGACAGGGTTTCTCTGTGGCTTTGGAGGCTGTCCTGGAACTCACTTGGTAGTCCAGGCTGGTCTCGAACTTACAGAGATCCGCCTGCCTCTGCCTCCCGAGTGCTGGGATTAAAGGCATGCGCCACCAACGCCCGGCTGCCCCTCCCACTCTTGAGAGTTCATTCTCCCCTGTCTTTAATCACTCTACACTCACTCTTCTTCTTGTCCAAGCTTCCTTAATCTTTTTGGGCTTGAGACAACAAGATGGACAAGCACTGATTTCAGGTGACTTTGATGACCACCAGTTGGTGCCCTAGCTCCTCAGAGTTAAACCTACAAAGAACTCAGAAAGGCTCTGTCACTTTCAAAGAATCCACAACTTTGGAACCCAAGTGGAAAGGTTGGGGAAGAAGGACAGTGGGGACAGCACAAGACAGGGAACATACAAAGGGATTGGTAGACTGAGGAAAATGGGGGCCAGGTTCTCGCTGCTGGAGAAAGAAGTCATAGTATAGAGAAAGACAAGAGTGATATTGCACTGCCGGTTAGAGTTCAGGGTGTGAGTTGAAGCACAAAGTTTCCAATGTGCACAGACTGATATAGAGTGGTGTGTGTGTGTGTGTGTGTGTGTGTGTGTGTGTGTGTGTGTGTTAGAGAGAATGAGAAAGACAGACATAGAGACAGAGACAAAGACAGAGAGACAGAGATACAGAGAGTCAGAGTGACAGAGATACAGACAGAGAAAAACAGAGAGACAGCAGAGAGACAGAGACAAAGAGACAGAAACAGACAGAGAGATAGAGAGACTGAGACGAGAGGAGATACAGAGGTATTTCTTAGCTTCGTCTCTTAGAGGGGCTAAAAGTGACAGCCATGGGCACATATAACACCCAAATATTTGTTTTTAAATCTCTTTTTTTCTCCATGTTTGAAACCAGGCTTCTTCAAAGAAATGGTTGCTTCTGGATTTGAGACAAGGAAATTATAAGATAAGACTAGAATATCTTACCGTTTCAGGAAAAAAAGTGTTTAAAGAATTATATCTATTCTATCAAAAGAGCATAGAAACTAGCTCAAGGAGCTCCCATTGGCTAAATCTAGGACAATTGAGACATGGAAACAAAGATAGTAACAGATTATAACACACTGTATAAAACAGGAATCCATAAATTCAATGACAAATTAATTCTGACATTTTATGAGGAATGGGATGCAGTCTTGAGGGAGGGGAAAGGAGTAACTTTGTAACCGAGAAGCTAGCAGAGATCATCTTCATCAAATAATAAGGTGTAAATCATCAAGCTAGCAGAGATCATCTTCATCAAATAATAAGGTGTAAATCATCAGTCGAGAGACCTACAGCAAGCACAATGTAAATTTCATATTGGTTTCCCAGACATGAAAAGGGGCCTTAATGGACAGTTGGTGAAATTGGAAAAATCTAAAGGTATTTTGTAAGTTACTGAAAAGTAATGTGTCAACATTCATTTCCTGATTTTTAGTGGTTGCACTGCGGTTAGCATGAGAAAGTTGTTGAAATGTATTCACTGTTTATGTTCCTCCCCGTGATCTATACATTAAGATACTGATCACTAAGGCAGTTTTATCAAGAGGCAGCATCTCTGGGAAATCATTAGGTCATGAGGGTAGAACCCTCATGAATAAGATTAGTGCCCCTTTGAAAGATGTCTTAGAAATCCTCTCCCCTTCCTCTGTGTGAAGCTAAGTGGAAAGATGACTGTCCACGAGGAAGACCATGGTGTCTCAGCTTCTAGAACCATGATCGGTAAACCTCCGCTGTGTATAGACCATCTAGTTGCTTGTATCCTATTATAGCACCTGAAAGGAGAGTGTTTGTGGGCCATAGGGTGTCATGTTGACTCTCAACAGGTCAAGTACTTAAGTTCTTTGTATTCACCTGAAGGGCTCAGTGTCCACATATCACAGAGATGCCTGCACATCAGTCGGTGTTTACTGCAGCACTAGAGACAACAGCTAAGCTATGGAACCAGCCTAGCAAAGGAAGGGTAAGGGAAATGTGACACACACACACACATAATGGACTTTTTTCAGCCCTGAAGAAGATCAAAGCCAGCTGGGTAGTGGTGGTACGTGCCTTTAATCCTAGCTCTAGGGAGGCAGAGGCAGGTGGATCTCTGCGAGTTTGAGGTTGGTCTGGTCTACAGAGTGAATTCCAGGACAGCCAGAGCTGTTTTACTGAGAAACCCTGTCTGAAAAAAAAGTTTTAGTTTTGTGTCATTTGGAGGAAAACAGATGCAACCAGAGAGAATAACATTAAACAAATTAAGCCAGTCTCTTTGTTGTTTTGTTTGTTTTCTGGCTTTTGCTTTGTCTTTTTGGTGGGTTGTTATTTATTTATTTATTTTGATATTTCGAGTCAGGGTTTCTCTGTGTAGCTTTGGTGCCTGTCCTGGGACTCATCCTTACCTCTGACTCCTGAGTGCTAGTTTTAATGGCACGAGCCACCATTGTCGGATAAGCCAGTTTCTTTAAGAAAAACATCATATATTTTCTCTCATTTCCTAGAGAAATCAAGTACGTGTGTATAACGTGAAAGTAGAAACAAAACTGTCTAGGAGAACAAAGGGAACCAGCAGGAGAGGGGATTGAGAAAGTGGAACAGAGTGGGCACTAGGGGATGCACTCAACAGACAATACATGCTTATATGACAATGTCTTCATGTAAAAGTGTCATCATGCACAATGCATGCACACAAAGAAAAATCTAAAAGGAAAACAGCAGCCATAATGAAGAGAGACAACAAAAAGATACTAAAGATGAAATAAAAGAGAAAACAAGTGATTTGAGTAAGTTCAGAGAAATGCACACTCCAACACATACCAACCGTTGTGCGGTTGGTGTTCGCTTCCTTAAAAACCACAAATGTCAACGGCCTAGAGTGTTCAGATCCTTTTATTTGATGGCTTTTAAAACCCCAGATTCAGCTAGATCACACAATAAATTAGATACAGAGGTAATTTTTATTCGTTCTTTGAAAACTTTATATAATATTCTTTGATCATATTTACTCCTCAACTTCTCCTGGAGTTACCCTCCCTTCCCTATCCCCACCCCCAATCAAGTTCAGTTTGTGCTGCCTACATTTTCTTGGATATACGACCATCGACTGCAGTGTGGTCACTTGATGCGGACTACATTCCTAAAGAAAACTGACTCCCGGACTTCCAGCAGCTTTCAATTGCCAGTAGTTCTCTGCTAAGGGTGACACCTTGTGTTTGTTTCCCTTCTCCAGGCTGAGATTTACTGAAGACTGAACTTGCACGGGGCTTGTGCATGCTGTCATATCAATGTGAGTCATCTGTGTTGCTGCCCTGCTGTGCTTGGAGGACACTATTTGTAGGGCTCCCGCCTCTGGCTCTTTCACTCTTTCTCAAGCTCTCCTCTTCTGCAATGATCCATGAGCCTTGGGAGGCAGAGATGTGATGTCAATGTCCAGTATAAGGCTGAGCACACCACTGTCTTTATTCTCCATACTTTGGCCAGTTGAGGACCGATGTATTCACATCTGCTTTAAACAGAAGCTTTACTCAGGTCTGTCTGCAAGAGCAGTAAGTGCTCTTAACCACTGAGCCATTTCTACAGCTCCTGCCTCTGTCTTACTAGGACAAGGATTAGTTTTAAGGAACTTGAATGTTGCACAATCTCAAGTACCTCTTTAAACAGAGATTAGCAGGGAGTTGGGGATAAAATGACTAAATTAAGTATCTATGAAAAAGCTTTAAGGAAACCCATTTTTTTTCCTAGACAGGGTTTCTCTCTGTAGCCTTGTAGACCAGGCTGGCCTCAAACTCACAGAGATCTGCCTCCCTCTGTTTCCCGAGTGCTGGGATTAAAGGCATACATCATCACTGCCAGGTTGGAAACACATTATTTTATAAGTTAATTTAAATATATAATTTTTAAAAAGAGTTGAACTACCTGAATGGGTGGACAACGCTTCTCCTAGAAGAGGTAGGTTATTAAGTGAAAATGCCAGGGCCAGGTATGGGCTACCTCCCCATGAGATATTGGTCAGGGGCCTTCAAAGGCTGTTGACATTGCTTCTGGTTGTCTACCGTCACTAGATGGTAAGATCCTCTTGTTGAAGATACAACACAGTTTGGCTGCAGGACAGAGAAACCAAGTAGGAACTGACCCAGAAACTTTTCACTGCTGGTTAGCAGTCATCATGCTGAAAGGTATTACACAGGCTGCTGGGAGAAAAGCCATCAATGGACTTGTCCGTACATGGACCCTCCACGCTACAATACTGAGCTCCCAGGGAAGATGTGTCCATAGTGTAGTAGTGGCATGACTCTTATGGGGATAACCAACTGTTTTCTGATTGGATTTGAGGCCGGTTCCACAGCAAGGAATTCATGCCTTGCCCTGCCAACCTGGCCAAAAGCCCATAGCTGGGGAGGACATAGAGGACCCAGTGGGGGCAACCTACTACTACTAAACTGACATGTTGTCAAACTGCCTTTAAGTGTTTAAATTGATTAGTGTACCCTCAACCTTAGTCAGAGAGACTTCTTTTTGCATTGGGCAGCAGTCAAATAACTGGACAAAGTGCTGAGAATAAACGGAACATCTATTTCAACCCCCACCCCTTACCTCCACATGACTCAGGGAACATCATCAAAAAAGATGGCAAGAGAAAAGAAAAGAAAAAGAAAACTGTGAGAGCAAGAGGACCGGTGTGTGTGTGTGTGTGTGTGTGTGTGTGTGTGTGTGCGTGCACCCTAAAACACGCCACCCTCTGGACATGACATGGCCATTTCACTCACAGTGGCTGCAGTTATCTGCACAAGAGAAAGCCATTCATTCATTCTGGCAAGGACGAGAGAGGGTCTCGTAAGGCTCCGCCCTAACTGAGGTACTTGATACTGGTGCGGGAAGAAGCGTCACTTTTTCTTCAGGGGCGTGGCCACCGGAGGGTTGCTCTCGTCTTTGCACGCAGTACTAATCGGACTCTGAGTTATAAAAAGAAAAAGAAAAGGAGGCCATGAGTGTGGGAGCGGCACGTGTTAGCAGAGGCTGGGGAGAGTGGGAGAGAAGAGTTGGGGAGGCGTGGATATAATTAAGACACATTAAAAATGTGTACAGAATCGTCAAAGCATAAGTAAAAGTTTTTTGAAAGGAAGATCATATAAAATTGGGCAGAAAAGTGAACATTTGGGGTGAGAAAAGAAACAGTAATAAATGGCAAATTCTAAAAAGTGGATAAATACCATGAACATCATAAAACCAGGAAAAAATAAACTCAATTTTTTATTTTTTGACAATTTCACACACACATACACACACACACACACTTGCACACACACATATGTATTTTCACCATCTTCACCCCCATTTCCCTCCCAATCTCTCAGAATGCCCCTCCTGTTCAGCGAGACCTCACCTATGGGTGGTGGATATTTACTGGAGCACAGGCAACTTGCCAGAGGTCACACCACTGATGAAAATGACCCTTCTTCCCCCAATAGCTTCCAATGGCTCCTTAGAGAAGAGTGGGGCCTCAAACCTTCCACTCTTTGCCTTCCAGATGTTCCAGATGTTCGCTCTAGGCTGCCTCTTGTGGAAATATAACTCCATGGGGGAGGAGTGTCAAGGGCAAGCTGCAGAGGCTTTGAGGACACGCCAGGATTCTAGCCAGTGGTGACGGTAGTGGCTGGTGTCAGCTAATCCAGGAGGAGACAGAGGTTTAGTTCCCAGCGAAGCATCCAGAGAGTGGCTCTGCACTGGGAAGAAGACAATGCAAAAACGCCTTAGCCACGTGTAACTCACTGGGGTTCCCAATCCTAGCAAGGATTTTTATACTGATTAAATAGAGCAGTGTAAGAATAAGGAGTTCACAGACATGTTCATGACAATGCCAGGTGGCATCATCCAGCCAATCAGTGAGTTTCAGGTTCAATGAGACACCCTGTCCCAAAAATTAAGGTGAAGGGCTAGCAAGATGGCTCAGTGGTCTAATGTGCCTGTGCACCCACACTGGTACATGTACACACACACATTCGTACACCGTGGCTTCTGACCAAAACTCGAAAAAGACAGAAAGGTAGACCCAACCCCCAACTCAGAGAGTGTTCTAAGGAGAGAAAGCAGATAGGGAAAGATAAAAGGGAGAGAGAGGCCAGTGTGGAGGGGGTGAGACTGAAGAAGCAGGCCAGAGGGAAGATTCTAAACTCCTTCCAGAAAATGGAAACGGTACAGAAACCTCATAGGAAGTACTATGGAAGGCTGGGAGATGGGTCAGTGGTAAAGTGCTTGCCATGCAAGTTCAGGGACCTGAGTTCAGATCCCCAGCACCCGAATAAAATGCTGAGTATGGATACACTATATATCTGTAATCCAAGGCCTGAAGGAATCAAGCAGAGCTAGGCAGATCCTCAGAGCTCTCTGGCCAGAAATCTAACAGCTGACATTGACTTCTGGCCTCCACAGGCGCCCTAAGACCCTCCCCAGATGCAAACCAGACAAGCAGTGCTGGATGAAGACTCTGGGGTAGCTTCAAGCCCAAATCCACCTACCAGAGACCTTGTGCTAAAAGCCCCGAGGACAACAATGGTTCTCTGTGGCCACAGCGGGCTGGCTCTTATGCTGGCTGGCAGGTACATGGGATTCAGAAGCAGGGGGCAGGGGAAAGCATCAAATTACCTACTTGAACAGGAAGCTCATACCTCTGGCAACAGCCCAGAAGGAAGAGATGACACTTGTACATGGCTTTTCTGTGCCAAAGTTTTCAGTGTCAAAAAGAGTACCTGGGACCCAATGAAGATTCCAAACAACGGAAATGATGCTGGACAGGATCCTCAATTGAGAAAATGCCTCCATAAGATCAGGCCGTAGGCAAGCCGCAGGACATTTTCTTAATTAGTTTTTAATGGGGAAGGGCCCAACCCATTGTGGGTGGTGTAAGCCTGGCAGTCCTGGGTTCTGTAAGAAATCCATAGGGAGCAAGCCAGTAAGCGGTTCTCCTCCACAGTGCGGGTTGCCTCCAGGCTCCCGCCCTGCTTGAGTTCCGTCCTTGATTCCTTTGGTAATGAACTGTGATGTGGAAGTGTAAGCCACGTAAACCGCTTCCTGCCAAGTTGTTTTGGCCACAGTGTCTCAACACATCGATAGTTGCCCTAACTAAGAGAGGCGGCATGCCTGTAATCTTGGGCAACATGATAAGACCTTATCCTGGGGGAGATTTTCCTATTTTGGGACATGGGAGAGGAAAGTGTAAATTAACAAACCTGTTTCAAAGCCCATCCCCCACTTGCCTCTAATGCTGAACAAGTTAAGAGGTAAATACAAAAGACTTTTATCCAGGCAAGGTATTGATGCAATTAGCAGGCCCATCAGGTCCCTCATGTGAGTTACTCACTAACCGATATCATCTTCAGGGAGTAGGTACATCCTTTGTTACTGTGGCAGGGGCTTGCTGAGCTCTGACTTGACCTTAGAAATTACCATGATGCTTGGGACTGGACAAGAAAGGCTACAGCCTGGGGGAACCCAGTATCAAGTCGGGGAACTAGACATTACTTAAAAGTTTATGTGAACTCCTGCATATGAGAATGTAGGGCAAGCAGGAGTTAGATTAGCTGTAACGTTGAAGGAAGAGGGGGATGGGCAGGATTAGCTGGTCATTAAATCCTGGCCCCTGGAAGTGATCCCCGGGTGTTAGTCACTGACTGTACTGCTATTTACCGCCGTTTTTCAAATCTCCGTTGCCCATGTCGTACCTCCTTTGCAGTCTGATCCCTACTTTGTATCTTTTTCTGTTTATATTACATGCCCAATGCTTTATAGCCTCCAGTGTCTTTTATTCACATGAGTTTTCTAAGTTTGCAGAACATTTTGCTCCAAGCCCTTGAAAGGCAGAACAGGTTCTCCATGGAGCATGTGGATCTTTGGGGAGGTGGTGGGATGTGGGATACGGAGCTGGAACACCTTCTAAATAAAAGACAGGGTAAGCGTGGTGCCAGGGCCATCAAGCGGTCAGCAGTCGTCTGTGGTGCCTGTCGGTGCGCCAGCTAAGGAGAAATAGCAGTCACATATTTTGACTTCAGAAACAACCAAAAAATAAAAACAGTTGTGCATTCATTGCCACCATTTTAACAAAGAATTACCTAATACGAGAAAAATGACGGCAAAGGAACATGTGTCCATGGTGTGAGTCAGGCAAACTTTCCCTGACCTGTAAGATAGAGATCACATAACCTGTGATAGTTAACACTTTTGAACACCAAATGAATTTGATACACAGGCACTGTTGAATTGGGTGTGTAGGGCATACTTCTAATCCTAGCACTCAGGAGTCAGAGACAGGGGGCTCTCTGTGAGTTTGAGGCCCAGCTGGTCTATATACTATATATTCCAGGTTGGTCAGGGGTCCAAGGTGAGATCTGTTAATATTGAGGCATCTGTGCTGGCTGGCCTTTGGGGTTCTGACAGGATATGCCCTCAACTGCAGCCCTAAGAGCACCACCTGTGTACATTCACTATGCTCCCTTTTAAAAGGGCCCTGCCCACCTCCGATCATCTCTCTCTTTCTGGCTGTTCCTTTCTCTCACTCTCTCTCTGCCTCTTTCCTCTCTCACTGCCCCAGTCTCTCTCCCCTTTCCCTTTTTTCAGTCCTTTTCCCTTAATAAAAAAAAACCCTCCACTTGAACTCTGTTGCAGGGTGTCTTTCTCTCTCGAGCTGCCTTTTTTAACACTACAACAAGATCCTGTCTAAAAAAAAAATCAAAGAGAATGAGAAGTTGCAATAACCCCCTGGTGATGTTTTATAGATCTCATAGGAATTAAGACAATTTTTACAGGCTGCAGTTCCTAAATGGAGGGCTGGATTAGAACCCAGACCCAAGTAGCTGGAACACAGGAGTCTTTGTCTCCTTTAAGGGGACAGACATTTTCTGAACTGTTTGTGAAGGAATTGGTTAGATTTCTTCCTCGTTGCTCACTTTGCTAAAGAAGTCTGGGCCAGTGAGCCTCTTATTCAGTATCTCTGACAGACTGGACGCCAGAGGTCAGCTCCTATCAGGCATGATTCCTGAGGAATCCCTACAAACCAAGGAAAGAAAGAGGCCAAACACCCTCCAGGGACTGTTGTGGAGCGGAAGTGGGCCTGTGAGCATCAAGAAGTCTGTGTGGCTCTGGGGTGCAACTGAGCTGGGATTCTCAAGGCCCCTCCTTTCCCCCTAAGAGTCCTTAGAAGTGGGGTTTGTACGTCTTGCTGGAAACCTGGCTGTGGACACAGGGATGGGAAGGTAGGCTTCCTGAGGGGCTGCCCTCAGTGAGTGGTGTAGGGGAAACCTGGCTGTGGACACAGGGATGGGAAGGTAGGCTCCCGAGGGGCTGTCCTCCTGGCTGTGGACACAGGGATGGGAAGGTAGGCTCCCGAGGGGCTGCCCTCAGTGAGTGGTGTAGGGGAAACCTGGCTGTGGACACAGGGATGGGAAGGTAGGCTTCCCGAGGGGCTGCCCTCAGTGAGTGGTGTAGGGACAAGGTAAGGGGCGTGGCTAGATGAAGAGCCAGGCAGCCTCTAGCAGCCACCTGCCTGGTTGAGATGGAAACGCCGATTCCAGCTCCAGCCCCCAGACAGGCTAAGAATATCTCAGCCGAGCAACAGCCACCACCCCCGCCCTTCTTGATCTGTGCATGCGTCTGTAGTGCTATCCTGGGAGCAGCCAGGGGATTGAGTGGGGGGATGCTTGGGGCGCAAGGCAAAGGAGAGGAGGCTAAGGGGCTTGGCTGGAGGCAGGAGGTGATCTAAGAAAGAACAGCTGCAAAGGGCTTAGAGAACCAGGAAGCCAAAGGAAGGTGGAGACGGGAACCTGGTAGCTGGGGTGAGCGATGGGGATGAGGATAAGAGAGGCCATCATAGGTAGCAAGGAGGAGGACAAGGCTCCCTCTTCCATCATGGAAAGAGTTCACGGCAGGGCGAAGGCTTCCAACTTACCTCCACCCTTTTCTACCCTTTTCTGCTCCTTCTTCTGCATCCTCCACTAGCTCAACACTGGTCCCTTCCCTACCCCAGAGCATCACATTCCTTCTTCAGGTTCCCAATTCTAGTCCCTGTTCTAAGCCACTGTATGTGGGCTTCCTCACTCAAGGCTTTCTAGCAGAGAGCCTTCTATTACAGACAAAGGTGAGGTGAGAATGGGGAGTCCCTGGCAGCCAGCACCCCCCCCTCCCTCCCCCCCCGTCTGTTGTCTGTTTCCTTTCTTCCTTATGCATGGCTCCTCTCACTCTGCTTTGTTCTTTCAGGAGGGGTTCACCTCCCCAGGACAATTCAGGACTCCCCCAGACAACTCAGGTTTTCTGGGGTGAGTCCTTAAGAAAGGGAGGAAGGGAGGGACGGAGGGGGAGGAATGGAGGGAGGACTGGGCTGGTTCCCCTTCTCTCTATACACCTCAGGGCCAGAGAGCCTGGGTGGAGCTGTTGAATCTTCATGGGGGCTGGGGACCAGGCAGCAAGCTCCAAGCACTCAGATGCCCAGGCTGCATCTCCACCCTGGCTGTTTTAGGAACCCGTGCTGCCATTAGCCTCTTTGTAGGGGACCTCTAGAGACCTGTGGCTGCAACATGTAGGGTCATTTACGGGGGGAGATCCTGGACCTCGACCTGCTTGGGCCTCCTCTCTTGTGCTGGCCTGCCTTCCAGGGTCCCTTGCAGAGCTCCTAGGGACAGAGGAATCATTTGCATTGCTAATGGATCCAGCTCCACTCCCCCTGTCTCCTAGGCTGAACTGCAGACACGCAGGCCTCACATGGACGCTGGGCACACAAAGACTGAGCCCAGCAGACAGAAACAGATTAGAAGGAGGCAGACAGGGCTGGAGCTACAGAAAGAAATAGATTCATAGGCCGAATTTGATTCGGAACCAGAGCTGTAGAATTGAAAAGCTTAGGATCTCTTTCTGTGCAATTCCTAAAGCACTGTCTTATTCTTCTATAATAGCCATTTTAAAAATCTGATAATGAAAGTAAAACACATCAAATCCCTGAATTTTACCATAGAAGCAGAGGCTCAGAAAGACAAAATGACTTCCCCAAGGTCATGTAACTGGCAAGCTCTGGGCTGTACCTCCTTGCCCCTGTCTTTCAGAGAAGGGAAGGTTGGCTAAATGGGTTGGTTTGCATTGCATAGCTTGGAGACATTCCTAGTTCACCTGGGAGGTGAGTTCTTCTGAAGAACTTAATCAGTAAGTCCTGCCCCGGGCCCTGTAGCTCTTGGTCTGGACCTGCTGCCATAGCCTGGAAGACAGTGGGTTGTTCTAGATAATCTGAAGAGTCATAGAGACAGCTCTCAGCACAGTTCCAGAGGCCAGTACAGGAAATGGTCAGATGAAAAACAACATTCAGAAACTAACATAATTAATGAATCACACACAGGCTCTAAACATAACCCAACCACGAAAAACAGTTGCAGATGTGGCAAGTAAGTCATCAGCCTCCTAGAAAGCATCCCTCCTCCATGAAGTCTTCCTGGTCCCACTGGCTTTATTCCCCTGGACCTCGACCCTGTATAATGTGCTTCTCTTCCACTCCTTAGTGCCTCTAGCTTATCCTTTCAATCAGTTCAGAAAAGCTTCCTGGAGGAGGTGGGATTTCAAGAGCTTGATAGGCAGCAATACAGTACTGTGAGAGAGGGTTTCAGACAGAGTAAGCTGAAAGTAAAGGGGGATATGAGATCCTCAGAGGCACCTGGTCTGGGGTCCCTGAAACAGGAAAAGGTTCTTGATTCCGACAAACAGGATAACAGACGGTCACAACTGGGCCAGGAGTTGGGGAACCTACATGGCAATATTCATGGTATAGAGATTGTGTCCTAAATGGTACCAGCAATAGTCCTTGCGTCAATGAGAGACTCCTGGGAGCTAGGAGGACCCACGTGCCATTCAGATCCACGTGCCAGGTTTCTGCTGGCACAGCTCAGTCTCTACGGGGCCTGTCCTTAACTACCAGTGAGCCAACTGTTCCTTGGGTGTCAAATAAAGGCTGACTCAGAAGGCCTTGTAGGAGTAAGTGGGGCCAGTTATAGGAGCTGCAAAGAGGGAACATTTCCCCATAGTTATGGAAAGAATGAGAGGTTGGGCAGAACAATAAGGCTACAAGAAATAAAGATCAGATTCAAGGGCACAGAGAGACCCTGCTGAGAACGAGTACATTGGGACTGGTGTGATGGCCCAGCTGGTGAAACCCCTTGCAGCCACACCCAAGAGTCTGTGTTTTGTCCCCAGAATCCACAGATGAGAGGCAAAAATTGACTCCCCCAAAGCTGTCTTCTGACCTCCAAACATGCCAAGCACATGTACCCCCCCACAATAAATAATGAATAAAAAGAAAAAAACCAAGTCTATATATGGTTGCAGTGAGGGAGATTTAAGGAAGCTGACCCCAGCTTCCAGGAGAGGGGTGGGTGAGCAGCGGTTGGAGACTTCAGGGAAAAGCTGAAGTCCAAGGGGATTCTGGGACAGCCCGTCTATAATGGAATAATGGAACACATAGAGAGAACTCACAGCTGACAGCACAGAGTCTTTGTTCTTGTGCTGTGTCTATAGGAAATAGAGGTGGCTTGACTGTGCCTATAATGCCAGAATTTAGAGATACTCAGGAATAATTCTGAGAATAGTTACTAAATGGACAGGCAGGGACTTCTGTCTACCAAACCCATCCCCATGCCAGTGCCCAAGGTCCACCTAAGAAACTGGAAGACTCCGGGCATGGAAGCCAAAGCATGGCTGGGAGAGAAGGATCCCACAAGGCCCACTGAACAGGCCCGGCTCAAGTGGTGCTCCCAACCTTCAGGGAAGGCTCAAAAGTCCAAAGTCTAGGACAAAGGCCTTGGGCACTGCAGAGAGAATGGAAGGATCCAGAGAAATCAGCAGCACCCAGTCTAGCAGCTAGCATCTGGGAGTGGGATCAGCTGGGACCTGAGCAGCAGGAAGCTGTTAATGATCAAAATCCACCTCAACATGGACACTGGTCTTGACTGGAAGTTGGGCCTACCCTCCTGGGTCTATTTCTCACAGAAGGCCCCATTTGCTGTCCCAACCTGCGGCCATCAACTGATCTAATTTCCAGAATTCCCTAGAGACCTACCATCCATCACCCGCCGAAGGGTGAGATCAATGTGTCGGTGAGACAACCAATCAAAAAGGAGCTGTCCAGGGACCAAGGCCAGATGCAGGAAATCCCATTAGGGGTTATCTTGAGATTCCCTGCACCCGCCCCATGAACCAAAGATTCCCCCCTGCCAAAGGAGGGAGGGTGCGATTGTCAGTCTCATCCACCAGCATTCTCTCACAGAGCAGGAATGTGCTGAGGGGTGGAAGGCGACCAGGAGGAAAGCAACCGGGTTTCCAGATTGGAGAAGCGAGCAGGTGTCTCCATGAGGGCACTCACTGCCATATTGCCTAATAACAAACTCAAAGGTGAGCAAATGGAAGGCAGTTCCCATGGTTCTACACTGCGGCTTGGACCCAGTGTATCAAAACATTCAGACCCCACGGTCTTAGGACCTGGAGGAAAAGATAGAAACAGTCATTACCGCCTCATTCCAAACGCCGTTCAGCCCTAGAAATAGACCCCCCAAATCACACCCCTTCCCCTTCTCCTTTTCCTCCTTTCCCCCCTTTCCCCTTTCGGGTAAAGGTAAGGGACTGAAGACTCCGGGCGGTGGGTAAGGCGGGACTTTAGATTAATATGCAACATTCTATTGGTCAGAACAACTGCCGATCAAAAGCATCTTGAATCGCGATTGGCTGCGTGAGGCGGGGCGCGGCGTGGCGAAAGAAGGGGCCCAAGGGGTGGGGCTGACGCTGCAGCTGGCGCAGCTTCGGCTCAGAGCAGCCGCCGCGGCGCAGCAGAGCCGCTCCTTCCCCCGCCCGTCCGCGCGCCGGGGCCGGGGCTAGGCCCCCCACCGCCGGGTCCCCCGGGGCTGCAGCAGCAGCGGCGCCGCCCGCGGTTCCCGCCGGGACCCGGGCGCCGGCCCCGCTCTGCAGGATGGGCACGGTGCTGTCGCTTTCCCCTGCTTCCTCGGCCAAGGGCCGGAGGCCGGGAGGGCTGCCGGAGGAGAAAAAGAAGGCGCCGCCCGCGGGGGACGAGGCGCTGGGGGGCTACGGCGCGCCGCCGGCGGGCAAGGGCGGCAAAGGCGAGAGCCGGCTCAAACGGCCGTCCGTGCTCATCTCCGCGCTCACCTGGAAGCGCCTGGTGGCAGCCTCGGCCAAGAAGAAGAAAGGCAGCAAAAAGGTGACGCCCAAGCCAGCGTCCACTGGTCCCGACCCTTTGGTCCAGCAGCGCAACCGCGAGAACCTTCTCCGCAAGGGCCGCGACGCCCCCGACGGTGGCGGAGCAGCCAAGCCCCTGGCCGTTCCGGTGCCCACGGTGCCCGCGGCCGCTGCCACCTGCGAGCCCCCGTCGGGGGGCAGCGCGGCTGCCCCGCCACCGGGTTCAGGCGGGGGAAAACCGCCGCCGCCGCCACCCCCAGCCCCGCAGGCGGCACCGCCGGCGCCCGGAGGCTCTCCGCGGCGGGTCATCGTGCAGGCGTCTACCGGCGAGCTGCTGCGCTGCCTCGGCGATTTCGTGTGCCGACGCTGCTACCGCCTCAAGGAGCTCAGCCCCGGCGAGCTGGTGGGCTGGTTCCGCGGCGTGGACCGCTCGCTGCTACTGCAGGGCTGGCAAGACCAGGCCTTCATTACGCCCGCCAACCTGGTGTTCGTGTACCTGCTGTGTCGCGAGTCGCTGCGCGGGGACGAGCTGGCGTCGGCCGCCGAACTGCAGGCCGCCTTCCTCACCTGCCTCTACCTCGCCTACTCCTACATGGGCAACGAGATCTCTTACCCGCTCAAGCCCTTCCTCGTGGAGCCCGACAAGGAGCGCTTCTGGCAGCGCTGCCTGCGCCTCATCCAGCGGCTCAGCCCGCAGATGCTGCGGCTCAATGCCGACCCCCACTTCTTCACGCAAGTCTTTCAAGACCTCAAGAACGAGGGCGAGGCCGCGGCAAGCACCGGGGGTCCACCGAGCGGAGGCGCGTCCACCACCTCCTCCTCGACCGCCAGGGACAGCTGCGCGGCCGGAGCCAAGCATTGGACTATGAACTTGGACCGCTAGGGATTCCCAGGGGCCGCGCCCCCCCCCCACGCCCCAGCCCCTCACACTCACACACGGAACCCCCGGGACCATCAAGCCTCCGCCGCTATTACCGCCGCTCTACGCCCAAGCTGGGCCGAGGAGGAGCCGCCCCTGCCCCGCAGGGGAAGGTGGAGGCTAGGACGCCAGAGGCCCCGGGGTCTGGATTTGCTGGGCGTGGGGTGGGCGTGGGGGATGATCGCGGGAAGGGCACCCCCAACTTCGTTCACCCTTTCCGTCTGTCTGCGCCTCCATCTTTCCATTTCTGCCTGGGTCTCCCTCTTCTGCTGTGGGCATCTCGAAGTCCACCACCCTGGGTTTTGCCAGTTCCTCACCTTTCTGTGTCTTCATCCTTCCTTAAGCCCTCGGCCCCCTCTCTCTGCCTTTCCATTGGTTTCCCTGAGCTTTACCCTTCTCCATCTTACCCTGAGCCTGATGGTACCCAATTGCCCTCCCCGCTTCTCCCGCACCTGTGTTTCCACGTACCCTTCTGGTTCTTATTCCTTCCTCCTGTCATATGTCACCACCTTCCCCCCCCCCCGTCTTCTTCCCCTCTCTGCTTGTGTCCTCCTGAATCCCTTCCCCCTCCCCGAGATTCTATACTCCTCCCCCCAGGTCAAAAAGACCCTTAGTTTTTTATTTGAATGGACTGAAGTGTGACAAGAATCTGCAGTCCCAGGTGCCCAGGCAAAGATCAGGGTGGTCCTTTCCCTAGCCCCCACAGCCTCTCCAACCTTTCCAACGTGTTGCATGCTGGGAGTTGAGGGGGAAAGGGCTGCTGCCTTCATTCAGGAGGCTGAGATTTGAGGGCAAGATCTAACCTGGTAGACTACCTCGCTTGCAGCGGTGGTGTCATCTCTGTGGATGGGTAGAAAGAGAAAGAAACCTCTTCTTATTCTGGGGGAGGGGTGTCCTCTTCCTTATCCTTAGATTTCTTGTTATATCCCCTCCCCACACTTTAATTTATTTCGCTGTTTCAGGAGGGAGGGTGGGTAGGGAGGGCTGGGCCGGGAATTGTCCGAGGTGCTGAGCTGGGCGGGACCGGAATCCTCCTGGGAGAGTACCAGGGACTGGGTTGGGCCTGGGGCCATGTCCAAGGTGCCAATGATGCGGGCCGACGGCGCGGGCCGCACTATCTGTCCGTCTGTCCTGGAGAGAACTATAAAGCGCTGGAAGCGCCTACAGATGGTTTTGCGCCGGCCTTTCTTTGGGTCCCTGGAGGGTGGGAATGAATGGTGGAGTAGAGAAACTGTCAGGGGTAGGGCAGGAGGGTGAGAAACAGGGATCTAGAGGGGAAAGTCAAGTCCCTGAGAGCGGCAACCTGCTACCTGCCCTCACTGGTTTTCATTTTAGGGTAAAGCGTGGTAAGCCGAGGGTTGAGGCTGGATTCGCCTCCCATCCTGACCTCCATCTTGTATGCCCTAACTCCGTATTAATACCCGGGCTACTTAAGGACAAATGGTAAGGACAGCAGAAGACACTCCCTTCTATGAGGTGACCCTTGAGACAGAACTGGCTAGCCACGATAACTGTTTTTCTTGGATCAGGAGGCTAGCTAGGCCTGACTAAGCCTGTGCTTGCCTCTCTCAGTTGGGAACTGAGTACCACCCCCTATGTATCCAATCACTACTGCTTTGGACACACCCGGAGCAGTCTTTCGAAGCCCATTTCTGCTTGAGACTCAGACCTTGACCCTTGACCACCAGAAGAGTGCAGATGTAGGTAGAAAGAAAAGGGGAGACGAAAGCCATTTCGAATTGAAGGAAGGGAGGAAATAAGCCATTTGACTACAAATCTCTGCTTAGCCTCCCCGTTGCCTTCTTAGTTACACAGCGAAATAGCACATCTAGTGTTGCGTCCGGTCAAGGAGGACTGACCACTGGCAGAACGTTTGCGGTTGCGAGCCTGGTCGGCACTGCGGCCGCGAAGATCCAGAGTTCCGGGAGGGGCCAGCAAAGAAAAGGCCTCCGGTTCGCTGTCCGTGGTGCTGAAGGGTGCGTTCATGCAGGGTGGGGGCTTGCACTACCAGCAAGAGAAAGGGGCACGGCCTCAGCTAGATCTTCTGAATAATTAACGAGTGGGGTGTAAGCTATTCTGGCGGCAAGTTACAAAGTCTGGCCCGGGAACTCAAGAATGTTGCCTCTCCTTTGCCCTTCTCGGGGACCGGACTTGCCTTTCCCCTGGCCTGGACCCATAACCCTAGCACCCGGCCTGGAGGCGGAAATCCTCGGTCCAGATTTGTGAATCGAGTTCCCCCGGGGGGAGGGGGAAATCTAGCGGAAGGGAAGGCGGGAGCAGCCGCCTATTGGCTGGAATTTGGCGCAGTCAACGCGGTGCCGTCATCTCTCTGGATTTGGGAGGAGGGAAGGAGGATCACTTGGGTCACTTCGCGGCTGTCGCTATGGCAACCAGACTGAGCGGGCGGGGCCACCTTTCTACTCTCCTGCCTTTGGGTAGGGAACGTATCCTGTTTTTCCTAATTTGGAACTAATTACTGAGACTAGCTACTTGATTGGAATTTCAGAGTTAGAGCAACCTAAACGGGATGAGGAAGAGAACCAAGAGCCGATGAAGATCCTTAAAAAATCTTGGGAGAATCAAGATACTGCCCCGAACTCATGGACACATAAGTTCTTTCTACTCGCAAGGGCGTGCGCGCGCGCGCGCGCGGCGCCCACACACACACACACACACACACACACACACACACACACACACGTGTACACGCCCTTTTATGCCTCCTGGAACTTAAGGCCTGGCACTAAAGAACTCATAAGAGGAGAGGAAAAAAAAAAATCATGAGTGAGTGATGTCAACTTGCCTAGGTATGGCCCAAAGCCGGAGACACTGCCATAATCCGATTAGAGCTGGGGGTGTGATTCTGGAAGATGATCAGCCGAACTGCAAGGAATAATTAGCCTTCTGAGTCACATTTGCTCAGAGTCCTGTTTTCTCTGGGTAGAGGGCAATAGGAAGAAGGACCCAGAACAGTCTCTGAGAAGCCGAAAGGAGAACTGTGAATGAGAGAGAAAAAGTAAAGTGCCTTGTTTTTCGTGCCAGAGATTGAACCTGGAGGCGGGGGTGGGGGGGTGGTGCGTCCAGGTTGGCGAAGAGGGTCTAGAACTCTCCGGAGAGTCCAGAAGAGCCAGGGGTAAGACTAACAGAAATGGAGGTCCGGAGACAGAAACCCAACTGGAGCCATGACTCAGCACTTCCCCTTGCAAAGGACCAAAGCACAGGGCCTGGGAAGAGTGGAGGGAGGGCCTTGGGAAAGCACATAGGTGGTTAACGAGAGACGCACCCCTTTGCACGATACATACATCAAAACACAGCCAAAGGCATATGTTTTAGCTCAGGCAGACATGAATGCATTTATACTAATGAAGGTTCATCCAATTATATTATATACATATATGTGGTCTCTCCTGTGTCCCCCTTGCTGGAGGGGGACATTCTATCCTGAGAGACATGTTTGCCTGTCCCCAGAATACCTTAGTACGTATTGGAAAAGGAGAAAAGTAAAAACCGCCCAGATATGGGAGGGTGGTTGTCATGGGAACCCTTTGCCTGCCAGCCAGGGTGCCCAGCAACCAGAGCTTCTGGCAGTATCCAGGAGGCTATCCTATGGCCTCTACACACTGGGACTCTGCCTGAGGTACCAGATGGGTACTTCTGGAAGGTTTCTGCTAGGGAGCTTCCCAAAACAGTGTTCCTACCCCAGTCAGACTAGCAGAATATCAGGGCAATTTAGAAGGGTAGGAATGTAACCTCAAAATGACCCCTTCTTCAAGTACCCCCTTTAAAAAAAGATTTATCGATTTATTATGTATACAGTAATTGCTGTGAGTGGCCTCTAGGACAGTATGCACACTTAACCACCGGCTCATCTTTTCTGCTCCCCACCAAAAAACTTGTCTCTTGAACAGTCAGCTGCTCTCAACATCCTCGGTCTGCTTGGAGATATGATCCATAATAATTATTTTCTCTTAAAGTGCCATCGTCATTTATCAACACCCTTTAGTCAACTGTCTATGGGTAACGTTTAGCTTGAAGACCATAAATCTGTTTTTAAAGGTTTGTTATATATGCAGTATTCTGCCTGCATGTATGCCTGCAGGCCAGAAGAGGGCACAAGATCTCATTATAGATGGCTGAGAGCCACCATATAGTTGCTGGGAATTGAACTCAGGACTTTTGGAAGTGCAGTCAGTGCCCTTAACCTCTGAGCCATCTCTCCAGCCTGACCATAAATGTTAAAATTAGTCTCTCTTTATATTTTATATGTGACAAACTGGAAGTCAGGAAGAGTAATGAAAGATATAAATAGAGAAATAAATATCTCTTCCTGCATGGCATTCCACCAAGAGAGGGTGGGCAGAACAGTATGGCAGCTCACAGCTATTTGGGAGGCTGATGTTGGAAGATTCCTTGAGCCTCCAGGACCAGATCGGACTGCATAACATAGTGAGACCCTCAGTTCGAAAACAATTAAACGGGGGCTGGAAATATGGTTCAGAGGTTAAGAGCACTAGCTGCTCTTCTAGAGGTCCTGAGTTCAATTCCCAGCAATCACATGGTGGTTCACAGCCATCTATAATGAGATCTGATGCCCTCTTCTGGCCTGCAGGGATATATAGAGGCAGAATGTTGTATACATAATAAATAAAATGTTTTAAAAAACAAAAACAGTCCAATGTATTCACATATTATCCCAGAAGAAACCACATGATACCAAGGTAACACTAAGAAGAGTGAACAAAATCAGCCATGGCCCACTTGTGATCTCAGGACCTCAGCGGCTATGGCAGGGTGCTACCAGTTCAAGGACAGCCCCCAAGGGTCAGGAGGAAGAGCACATAGAGGACTGTCTAAGATATATGGCACTGGTACATGAATAGACCGTCCAGTAGAGGAAAAAAGAGAGTCCAAAGCTTAACTATGTTATGCTGGGAATCTAGTGTAGAGCAAAAGTACCATTTAGAATTCACTGAGTCAATGAATGGTTTGTTTAAACTGGATAACCATTTAGATAAAAGGGAGGCGGGGGAGGTCATTATTCCTAACTCTTTTCCCTCAAAATACATCAAAATCTGATCAAAGATTTAAAGAAAAAATGCCATGCAGCTTTAGG